CTGGGAGAGCTGCATCCTCTTCTAGCTAAGGTTGGAGGTCAAGATTCAGATGACCAAGGCATAAAACATTCTGTCCCTCTTTATATTAGATAGTTTTCAACCCTCTATTATCACACCAGTAGAATCAGCACATGAAACTGGAGTTGACTGGTGGCCCATCATCCTCCCATGCCCAACCACCCGCTCCCAAAAATGTCCTACACTTTTGGGAACCACTTTAACCTTCCCATCTCCTGCCTGTGCCCTCTCTGCCTCTCCAAGGTGGTTCTTCTCCAGCCTGTCCTGACCTCATCCAAGCTGTCTCTGCTCATCACATTCTCCTGGCCTTGCTCCCTGCTCTTGGTCATTGGGAGCTCGCAACCTGAGTCTCTTTGGAGGGACATTGAAGTCCTGGTATGATGCCCCTTGGGGATATTGGGGTCCATCCCCAGCAAAGCTCTCTTGCTAAAATCTTGCCTTGTTGTTCTGTCTTACACTGAGAGCACAAAGGGGTGTGATGGGAACAACATAGTGGAATTCATCAAAATAATTAAAATAATATCAATAAACCATAACTTCTGGAGCTGACATCTGCCTATTAAAAAATAGTTTAAAATTACCTGTTCCAATGCTTGAGAACCCTTTCAAGTGAAGAAATTTCCCCTCATATCCAATCTAAACCTCCCCTGGCACTACCTGAACCTGTTTTCTCTTGTCCTATCACTTGTTACTTGGGAGAAGAACCTGAGACCCACCAAATGAAAGGGCTTTGGCTCAGCCTCGTAGAATAGAATCATAGACTGGTTTGGGTTGGAAGGGACCTTAAAGCTCATCCAGTCCCACCCCCCCTGCCAGCAGCAGGGACACCTTCCACTAGACCAGGTTGCTCAAAGCCTCATCCAACCTTTTTTTTTCAGCCACAACTTCCTTGGGCAACCTGTTCCAGTGTCTGACCACCTTCACGGTGAAAAACTTCTTCCTAATATCTCATCTAAACCTCCCCTCTTTCAGCTTAAACCCATTTCCTCTTGTTTTGTCATTAAACAAGATGCTCAGAAACAGGTTGCTACTCAGACCTGCTGGGATGGAGCCCGGTGACTTTAGGGACAGATTTTTTAGCAGGGCTTGTAGCAGCAGGACAATGGTTTTAAACTAAAAGAGAGGAGATTTAGACTCCATGTGAGGCAGGAATTTGTTATAATGAGGTTGGTGAGACCCCGGCCCAGGTTGCCCAGAGAGGTGGTAGAAGCCCCATCCCTGGAAACATTCCAGGTCAGGTTGGTTGG